CTTGAGACTGAACTCATATCAGTTCAAGTCTTAAGAACTTTGCAGTCTCCTGTGTATCCCTTGGATTTGCCTATACATAAGGTATACATGCTTAATATATATAAACGCTGCCAAGTTCTGGTTTTGCAACACGAGAACAGAAAATATCTGCTTGCTTTCCAAAGATCTTGAAAACTGCTTTTCTCTTTCTAAACACTTGTGGTCATGACTGATCACAAAATTGAAATAGAGACAAAAATTTAGCCCTAGAGAAAGCTCTCCCATTCTTGATTTTTTTAATAAGAAAAATGTATTTTTCTCTTATCGCCTACAAAATTAGTAAACTGTCAAGGAGCACTATTAAGGTACATTTCTATTTACCAGCATAGGGACAAACATTTCAAAATGTTGATAGACGTAAGAGAGATACTTTGAATGTTCTGAAAGACAACTAGTTCTTCTAGTTCAAGTACCCTAAAATAGGAATTACCAAAAGGATTACATTGCCTAAGGAAAACAAGGACTGGATCATTTAAGTTAGGGAGGATGGCATCCAAGATAGTGAAGAACACATGAGAACACTGACAGGGGCATACAAAGCTACTTGGCAGTATACCCAGTTATTTTAGCAGCATTTATTATCTGTATAACTTATCATCTACATAAATATTCTCCCAAACATTTAATGCATATCTGTTTTATTCCCCATATTAATTCTCCACTTGAGTCTGTATAAGAATTAAACTTGGGTTTTTTTTCAAAACTATAATTGCCATTCAGGTGCTGTGTTATCAGTGGACGGCTACTTGTAGTTATTGTTACTTCCGTTTGCAGACAGGAAAAATGCAGTCTGTCAGAAAGCATTTTACACCATATTCCTACTGATAGAGTAATTAATTTTCTCCAAATGGTCTCTAGTGAATTATTCAAATCATCTCTCATTTTCCTCTGTCAATCTCTGTATTTACGTTGGTGTGCATTTCCTAAAATTCCTTCCAAACATAATAAAGCAAAAATTCATGCCACAGATGTGAAAATATATTGCCTTACACATGAAGAGTTATTTTCAGTAACTTTGGGCGATGTGGGTTTTTTTCTTTGCTGTGGGTACAAGGGAAGACCTGTTTCAGCTCAGAGACGATCAAAATCTCTATTAGATCAGCATGCAATATCAATAATGTAAATCCCCTGACTCATGTAGAGCTTGTTTAAGCAGGGATCAGTTGTTTCCACTGTGTGCATTAAAAGGCTTGCAGTTCTAGAAATTTACTTAGTAGCTGTGTGATCCTTGGTGCATAAATTACCAACTATCAAATGCGGTTGGCAGCATCAAAAGATCCCAAGTAAGGAGAGTTCCGTGATTGTATCAGCTCAAATTATGTTGTAGCTGCTGTGACTTGTACAGCCCAAACTATATCCTAATAATCAACTGATCCTCAGACAGGGGAAAAAAAATCCCCAACATCTTATGCTTGCTTCACAGTCACTTTCTTTTGTGTGGCTAGGGGACTTGTCAACTGTATTACAATAATTTTGTGATACTTGGTATCACCATGCTCTTTATGCCCTGGGAAGGGACACATATAATAAGTGACAGACACTGGTGGAAAAAGTGGTGCTAAACTTCTCAGGGGAAGGTCTATGGAGTGGGAAGGGTAGATGCATATGAACACAGACATTTTAAGATAAGTTATTTCTTATTTTGCTGTTTGTGTTATGACCAGGATACTTTATGCCTACAAAAGAAACAGTCCTTCCTGCCTGAGGAAACCAATTTCATTCCTCACAACATCAAGTTTAAGTAGTATAACCAATTAATATAGATCCTTTAATAATTATTTTATTGTGCTGATGCACCTGATTGATTGTTAAAATCAATTGCTCTTCTTTCAAATAAAACACTGTTGTCAAAGTGACCATTCAAAATGACAACTGACCCCATAAAACATGGGGATTTATATCATGTTTATAGGTATATTGTTATGTGGACAAAAATCAGTGCTCCTAATATTTGTCTCTATGATTCTTTGCAAACTTTTGTCACACAAACATGGAGTTGTAAAATAATTTTTGGATCACTTGCAATACAAAGTGTTTGGTATATAGAAGGGAAGAAGAATAACATGAAACATATTTTCTCTGTGCTTGTCTGTAACAGTCATGGCTAGGTTAGTTGTGATCTCTGCAGCCTAAAAGGACTGAAGATTAGCTATTACCAGAAATTCTGTATAGTCTGAGGTACTGGACAGATAGTTCGTCATTATGTTGCACGTCTTTGCATCTGTCTTCCTATTGCCTTGTTCAGCAGCCACTGTGCTAACAATATGTTGATTGTTAGGGGAAGGGCTTTTGGTATTTTTATTTTTTCTTGCTTCCTAGTATTTTATTATTGCAGCATTAATTTGTATTACAGCAGACAGAAACTGCACTTCAAATGTGTTCAACAAACTCACAAGAAAGTATCACTGTTCCAGGAAAAGAGAGGAACTTCCTAAGCTGCTGTATTGAATAAGAGAACACAAGACAAAAAAGTGCATGTGTTAAATCAGGTGGAAATTTCCTCTAGCTTGGTATTCCGTCTCTCATACCAGGCATCCTGATAAAGCATAATAACAGACCAAGCATGTTGTAATACTTCCCTAGAATACTCACCTCATTTTCCAATCTCTTGCACCCAATAATTCTTATTTTTATTTTTTTTATTATTTAATATTGTGGATATTTCCTCCTAGAAATCCACCTTAAATACAAATAGCAAAAAGAAATATCTTTTCATTTGTTTTTAATATGGCCATTGCTAGTTTTACTTGATTTCTCTACTCTGCAACTCAAGGTTCGTTTCAAGTTCAGCCTTCAAAAAATTCTTGGCTGTAGAAAGTAACTCAGTGGAATTTCTTCCTGTATTTTAGACATAATTTCCAGAATGTTGGAAGAATTTGAACATTACTTATAGACAGAGACTGGTTTACCAGAAGCCTTTGCTTTCAAGTCTTGCTGAGGAACAGAAGAAAAAGCTCATGAATCAAATGTCATGATTGTTCACTTAAATATTTTATGATCAGCTTTGAGATTCATGTCCCTGTTTTCCTAGAACAGGAGAAAGAGTTATAGTGCATACCTGGCATGCCAATTTTGGTCACAGTTTGACCACTCCTCTTTCATAAGGACAGAATGCTCCTAAAGACTATTTTTTTCCTTCATTACATTCTGGGAAATCCTCTTTAGAAACTTCGATGGGTGACAGTTTGGTATTTAAAGGATATATACTCTACTTTCTGAACTGCAGCTCGTCTTTCAGAGGAATGAATTAGAGAAGAAACATTTCACTTTCTCTGTCTCAGCTGACATAAAATATGTGATAAAGCAATTTTGGGAACTGGGCACTTAGTATAACTGATCATATAAGCATAGCCATTGAGTCTTACAATATCTGGAGACAGCTATTGTTTTTCCTTTGCTATGTTGTTATTCTTTGTCAAAATATCTGGACTATTTTAAATAATATAAAATAGCAGGATTTCACTGGCTTCATAGTCAGGTTTCTATACTAGTGAAAATTACTATATTGATGTTCATTTTCTACAAGCAAACTGTTTTGTCATCTTGCTGTGTTCCTTACATATATGAAAGTACTGTGATACTGAAGGCATTACTTGTTTGCAGGTATTGAATGTTAACATATTAACATCAAGTACTGTATGTCTGTTAAGGAAGCTATCAGTCTGAAAACCAGGTTTTACCTCTAACCGAAGATTAAATCACATCTTCTTCACTGAACTCTAATATTTCTTTTTATTATTGCGAGTTTTCTGACAGACACGTAGCATTTTAGTATTTTAGGGATGTTGAGACGTTTCCATATGGGAAGAATTTTTAGGTTTAGTTGCATAACCACAGGCACATTCTAGCCAAAGTTTTTAGAAATTGCATATAAATACAGCTACAGAAATGGATGTATCTTAATTAAGACATTGCATAGAAAAAGGAGTAAAATCATTGTTAATATTTTAAATGTCTTGGGAACTCCCAAAATTCAAGTAGCTCCAGGGGATGCCTAGGAACCTGTTCAGGCATGCTGCTATTTCCCTTGGGTAGTTTTGTCTTTAAAAGGTGGGAAACTACCCGCTTGGGAACAGACTCAGAAAACATATGAATTCTTGGACATTATGCACTGTGACCCCAGAAGAACTTAGACTTTGTTAGCTCTCTAATTCACAGGTTTGGGGTTTTTTTAGTGACATGGGAGATAGTAAAACAAGGTTTGAATTTTACCAAAGTTTACTAGTGCTCCTGCGTTCTGGGTGAACTTCTGGCTATAATGTGTGGCTAAACCAGTTGTTTCAGAAATGTTACCAATATCTATTTATGTTGCACTTCCAAAGAGAGCTTGACCGACAGTAACAGGGTCTGATTCTTTCAGGATTAATATGTAAGTGGTGGCTTGAGCCTAAGAAAATGAATCTAAATTCCTTTGTGGTCAAAATATAATTTTTTCTGCCTCAGACATGCATCTGTTGACTTAAACAGCATTCTGTTGACATGGAGAAGAGCAGAATAACATGTACGATTATTCTCTCAACAGTAGCACCAATTCTTTTCTTTGTATTTTGGTGAGGCAACTACTAGGCCAGGTCGTTGCTCCTCACCTCCCGTAGTACCATTCCACTCCCAGTTTCAGCCTGTCAAGCCAGAGGGCTGCCCTCACTCCTGGTGGATTGAGAAGCTACATCCAGGGTGCAGATGGTAGTGACATTAGCTCCAACTGCTTTAGCTGTTCTTTGAGCTCTTTCTCTTTGCAAGGGCAAACATGCTTCTGCGCATGGGATTACATATAGTCCTCTTGTATAGACTCCTAAGTGGACTATTCTACCTTTAAAAGCTTTTAGACTATAACTTCTTGTCATCTCTATTTTGCTGATGTTAATCAGTGAATGAGTGAGGGAAATTGTGGAAGTGACCTATGATTTTATTTTTTAGAAAGGTATTTTGCAGTAAGTGTCATAAATTACTTTTCCCTTTAGGCTGCTCTGGAGAATATCATGAAAGAAAATCTGTTGTTAGCTCAAGAATATCAAATCGTTCAGAACTACTGCTTAAAAGGTAAAGAAGACCTCAGAGAAATCTATGCCAATAGAATCAGGGTGGAAAATGCCATGAAACATCATCAGCAGGTAAAGTGCTAACATCACTCATTCAGCTCATTTATCTCATCTCTAAAATTCATTTGATCAATGCAGCTACTTAATAACAATAAAACACCTGCTAGTAATACCTATCACCTGAATTATTATTTTCTTCTTGGTTACTTCACACTTTTCCTATGTTCTTTTTTTTTTTCTTACTTGCTGTGTATTTTTATCTATCTATCTATCTATCTATCTATCTACCTCTCTATCTATTCATCTATCTGTCCTACCTATCTGTTTTGGGGTTGGTTTTGTTTGTTTGTTTGTTTTTACAGCACAGTTCATGTAAAGTATTCAAAATTAATTTTTTATGGATTCCACTTTTACACCTGAAATGTATTTATTTTTATATATAATTAAAATGTACTCCACCATTACATATAACTTCTCTACAAAACACTTCCTCCTGGAAATTTTTGTGACATCAGGTCAGGCTCTATAAGCCTTTAATATTGAAACCAGTCGAATAAAAATGAAAAAAGGTAAAATCTAGTTTGATGAATTTCCATGCCAGATATATAGTTGTGGGGTATAACATTTTATTGACTAATCAGCTACGTTTTAAAAGACAGATTTTATAATTTGTCAGTGCTGTGGAGCCCGAGTCAAGTGATGTAAAACTTTGTTGTGTAAATGTAATGACAATTCGCAGAAAAAAGGTCTTTTCTGTTTCTTTTCTTTGTGTTTATATTCAGCTCTCAAAATACAAGCCTGCTTGTGTCATCACGCTCAGAGACAGGTTCAGATCAAAAATTTCAGGAAAGAATCTTTATTAAATGAGGTCATTTATGCAGGAACATGGTCCTGGTATATTGATATTTTAGTCCATTTCCTAAAAGTACAGTGTAGAAGTCTTGAAATAAATCAGTTAAATGTGAAATTCAGATTATTTGCTAGTACTTTACTCTTATCAATTCATTTTATGTTTTATACCCATATATTCATTCATTGCTCATTTCCTTGTATGCTACCTCACCTAATCTCTAATTTTAAAATTCAGTGTATTCAGTTTATTCCTGCCAAATATAATCTTTTCCAAAACTTTCTTTTTAACTCCATAGCTCTTCCACAGTTCAAGAACAAAACTGGTTTTAAGTCATATATTCTTAGGGATAACCGTATTTGGAGAAGTTGGAGGCAATGCTATGAGTATTGAAACGTTTTCTTAAAAGGATTGGTTTATAGAAGGATTTTAAAGTATTTTTTTTCTGAATGCAGTTTTAGGGCATACTTTTCAAGCCTCTCTACAGAAAAATATATCTATGTTATGTTATCATTTAGAACTTTTTTTATTTATTTGAATGTAAGAATATCTGTCTTCTACACTTTCAGAATTTAATAATTCTTAGTAGCATTTGTGAAACAGATTTATCACTCAAGAGTTTACCTCTTCTGGACATAGTATGGATGATATGATCATGCAACTCAATGTAGTCTGGAAGCAAAGAAAATTGCAAATGAGTTGGCATATATTATTGCTTTTTTCCTTCTCATTTTGAATACAATAAAACAAAATAAACATTGTAAAATACGGCAAAATAGTAATGCAATACCAACAGGATCTAGTTTCATCAGCAGTGCTGTATAATCATTTGTTTTGCTTTTTAAAGTCTTGTTTATGAAGAAAATGCTTATAAGTATGTTGCTTTTCCATCGGAGCTTATAATCAGCATTAAAATACATGCGCCTAGCTTGGGCTAGAAATAAGTGATGGCGATGTTTAGATTTTTGGACAGTCCTCTGTGCCATTCAGCACCAGTGTGTGTATGAAGAAGAAAGCTTCTATTCACAATATTAATATGAGAATTACAGACACAACTTCCTCTAATTTCCTTTTCATAATTCTTCATTTTGTTAAATATCTAGCCCAACTATTAAAACAAAATGTCATTGTACCCTTATCATATTAAGTATTTAGGAATTATGACAAAAAGAAAAAAACATGTTGATTTCATACAGTACTTATAAAAATAACCTATATTTTCTTCTTAGGTTTTTGCTAATAAGTGAATTACATCTGCAACAGAAAATCAATTCTGGAGTGTCAAAGTAATGATTTTTCTAGCGACTGTGCTATATATATGTGCATTACAATAACGTGAACTTTCAAGAAGAGTGTTCATTCTTCCCTAAATCCTGAGAATTTTCTTCCAATTTTTCAAATTAGTAATGTAAAAAGTAAAAAGGTAAATTGTGGGGGGTTTTTTTATTTGTTTTTGGCATAATTTGAACTTCATATTGTAATTTCTCTAATTAATATTAATGAAGCAAGTTTACCTTGGGCTCCTAAGTACCTTTGTTCAGCTCCAGGAAAGGATCATCTTGATGGTGAGTGAAATAATACTTTGGTAACATGAAGGGTTTTGTTATGAGTTTGTAAGCTTCTTTACTCTGAGGAAGGTGAACTTATTAAATGGAGGGAATATACACTGCTGAATAGTAGTAGACTTATATTTGTTTGTAATGCTATTTCTAGACAGTATTTTGTAGAGATTTCAGATGACTGTAGAGTTGCAATATCTATATGACTTTGAGGTGTTTTGTTTATTAATTAATTTTCTATTTTTAAAAAGCATCATATATTTGGATAGTTGCTGGTCGGGTCATAAATACATAATACTTACTTTAACAGATTTTTTCACCCTAATAATTAATATTTTTCCTAACCTTTGTTTTGAGCTTAGATATTAGTTAGTGTTTATATATATGTGTGTGTATATATATATATATATATATATAGTGTTGATAGATTATTTAGGATTTACATGTGTATTTTGGTTTCGCAAAATCTTGTGTGAAAAAGATTTGTAAGCTTGTCTCTATGCGGTAGACTTTCAGTAGCAAAACCTTGTAAAATGCAGCTTTTGCCCTACAAATACATAACAGCAGCTTATTCTGGAAATCTCAATGATTGTTTACCATATCTTTATTTTTGTGCAGAATAATCTTGGAATATCTATTTTCTGAGCAAAATGTAATACCTCCAATGTATTATATTTAAATGTCAATGGGTGCCCAATTTGATTCTCAAATACAGACGTATGAGATACAATTATAAGTTAAGAACCTATTTATTCGAATCTGTCCTTAACACTGCAAGTGTCACAGTCTTACAAAACTTTGGTTGTTGTTTTTGTTCATGTAACTTTCATTTTAAAATGGAATCCATGCAAATTATAATTGCTTTAAAATATAAGTAAAATATTCATCTTCATATTCACAATCTGTATCTTCAGGATGCCACATTACAGTGAAAGTTTGGGGGAGGAGGACTATTGATTTCTGTTTCTTTTTACTTTCTGGATAACTGACATATTATTGCAGTAAAACATATGTAGGGTCAATTCATGCTGAATAGTTATTAGAAACCATGATAACAAAAGTCATTACACTGCAGTTCAGTTTTGACGGTAAAATTTCTGCAACATTATCACAAATCCTCATGCATTAGTGCAATGATCCTTACTACAGTTTCATATTAGAATCAAAAGACTGCTGTAGCATGCTTGATACAAAAAGTCATGCAAGTTGAGTGAAGTTCTTTTATGCTTTTATAGATAACATATTTTCATGTCTTTCTCATGCATGTGTCTGACTCTGAGCCCTCTTGGATATTTCTGTCTTTAGTATATTGCTCTTCTGGGATATAGCTATTGTAAGAATAATGTCCCTGTCACATAGAAAGAGCAAATAGAATATAAAGTAAACCTGAAAATAGTCATATGTCAATTTAAACAATTATTCCTTCTGATTTTGTTGTTTCTATTCAGTGACCTAAATGAAAAAAAATACTGTTATCATATAAACAAAAAAAAGTAATTTGTCTCTTAATTGTGTTTTTTGTTAGTCAGTTTGCTTACCTGAAGATGTTGGATTGCTTCTTGTCTCCATAAGAATACTAGTGAAAGCATGGATAAGATTATGGCATACCCCTGTCTCATTTCCTTACAAACCTTAAATGAAAAGTAAAACTCAAGGATTCAGTGTGAAATAAATTAAAATTATCATAGAATAAATATCAGAATTTTTATCTGCTTCTAAATTAAATGCTTAACCAGCTTTCAGAACTGTTTTGATCAGGAATAAAAATGGATAATGGAACTAGCATTTATTTTTTTGCTGATATGACAAGACTAGATAATAGTTAGTAAGCAAAAATGGGTCATTTATAGCATTTTTAACTGAGGTTCTTTCTGCCTTTAGAGTTTTGACACTGCAGTAGGTTGACAGAATAACCAGCTTCATATGAAAACGTGGAAAAAAAAATGTATCTTCAGTAAGCTCTTCATTATGCAAATTTCCTAGACTTTCTTTGAGCTAATTATATTTAAACAATGTAAACATCAAGTTAATGTTATAATTAAATTTGAATCAATAACTCAGTAAGTTCAAATGACTCCATCAGAAAATTAATACAACAGGCAGACAAATCAAATTATTAGTTTGATAGCAAAAGGAAGTTATTGAGCTAATTTGTGGAGAAGTTGACCTCCTTTCCATATGCACCCGCCGTATCAGATGCTAGTCAGGTTACAGTTCTGTTTCATAGGACCACAGTTCTGCAGTTGTAGGACACAATGAAGCCTATAGGACTTTAGTGTTAGATGTTACAGTCTCCCAGAAGGTGTCCTGATACAGGAAGTGAAATCTCTTTGGGGTGTTTTTTTTGTTCTTTTGTTTTTCTTGTTTTCTTTTTTTTCTCTAAAAGAAATATATAAATTTGCTAATTCATTTAGGCATTTATTTTTAAAATCGAGTGTTCTCTAATACCAGTGAAAAACTACTTTTTTTCCCTGTGTAGTCATAGATAGTTTAAGGATATTTGATCACTTTTCTACCTCAGTGTTACCTGTGATATTAAGACAAACAAGATGAATCAGAATATTCCTCTTGTAATAGCTCAGGTTTCTTACCGTAGATAGTCCTTAAATAGGGGGACTCGTGGATGGCAATGTCATTAAGCATGGACATTGATTTCACAAACC